AAGGGGGAGATCGACGTTCATCCTCAGCAACGATCAACCACAGGAGCATTCCCTTGGCTTATAACCGACTTTCGGTTCAAATCAACTCTTTTTCAAGAGTTCAAACTCGTTCAGAGTTATCAACTCGATCAGAGTTCAAAACTTGCTCTGCAAGTTCTTCTAAAACTCGTCAGAGTTATCAACTCGATCAGAGTTCAAAACTTGCTCTGCAAGTTCTTCTAAAAACTCGTTCAGAGTTAACAACTCATTAAGAGTTATTTTTAAACTTGCCACGTAAGTTCTCCACAGCGTCAAATCGTGAGGAGAAGACATCGTTCCAGTGAATCAAGACGTTCGGATCGTCAACGAGAAGCAAACTCGACGCGAGCATTCGAGGGAGACATCTCATTGCCACCGTGAAGAACCCAGAATTAAACAAAGGGGAGAATTAAATTCATTCTCCTCTCTTTTGTAATCGGAATCTAAATTGTAATTGATTTTGAGAGGAATACAAGTCAAATTTTTCTTTCATTGTCTTTTTACTGCAAATTTTCCAACAAACAGCTCCTAATTATTCGGAACACATGGTATATATATGGGGGGTTTCTTATTTGTATTTTTTGCCCGATGTACTAGTTCCTGTTAGTTAGGGGTTAAGTGGGAGTATTTGCATTCTTGGTAGTTAAGTGTAAATGATCGCTTGTGATTCATATCTGGGGATTAATGGTACGAGATGTGTACGGAAGGGTTTTCTTATCTGGATTATCCCCTCATCGTGCTTTTCTTATATTATTAATCTCTAAAATATGATTACGGAATTTTGAGGATGAAATTCTTTTAATGGGGGTGAATGTAAAACCCCGTGAATTTTGAAAGAATAGTGTGATTTATATATTGATAAATGAGCTTGAATCATGATTAATATCAATTATGGATGAATGATTATGCTAACAATTAATTTGTGATCAATTAAGAGTATATATGAGAGCATACAAAGGTTAAACATGCACGAAACGAGTAAAACATGCACAAAGAAGAAATCTAGAAAAACAACCATCTAAGAGTATATATACATTAAACACTGATATAGTTCTAATCTAGAAAAAATCAAGTCAAAAGTTTTAGGTCTATTAAATATCTTTCCAACGCATCTTAAATTACCTTATTCTAAGATCGGAATGGAAGAGAAAGTTACAGCCAAAATACCGAAGACTATTTTTTTAGTCGACTGGGTTTCCTGTTTCGGGTTTTGGCTGTTTTGTTTCGGGTTTGCAGCTATATATGTGTGTGTTTATACACAAAAAACACATCTTCTCATCTGTGATCCAAACCCTAGCATCCCCTCTCCTCCTCTCTCAAACCCTAGCTCTAAATTTGTGATTTCGGGGAAGTCTTGTGAGGCGAGAAGCGAGGAGAAGGCGAGATTTGCTGCTTTTGGCGACGGGAGATCGCTTCATGATTGTTTCAAAGGTTGTACACGTGATAAGGCAAGATCGCCTCTATCCAAATCTTTCCCTTAGTTTAAAAATAAAGTTTTTACATGATATTTGCAATTAATCTCATGCTTAGGGTTAATCTAATGCGTTAGAACCTAATTTGTGATGTGATATCTTAAACTCATGTATAGAATAGCCGAGTAAGTCAGAAATTTTGGTGTTTAGATGATCATGATCATTAGAGTTAATCTTAATATGTTAATTACAGTTTAATTGTGATTTATATGCACTAATTTGTTGAAATAAACATGAATTTAGTTAATTTGCATGATTAAACATTAGATCCATGAGTTCATGTTGATTTTATCTTATTTAAACAAACCCTTGGTTAAGTAATCATGAGTATTGAATCAAGTTTTATTCATATAAGTTAATAAAAACCCGAGCTTTGAAGAAAAATCAAGTAAAAATCTGAATCTGTTAATTTTGGTCTGTTCAGTCGACTGATGTTGCCATTAGTCGACTGACGGTAGGTCATCAATCGACTGATGGGCAACATCAATCGACTGACGGGCTCGGCTGTGTGTGATTTGTGTAACCTCAGCTTATCAGTCGATTGAAGTTTTCGTCGATCGACTGATGAAGTTCAATATTGTGAGTTTGAACCTTTTACACGTGGGTTCGATGTACAAGGGCGTAGCGTAAGTCGTGCGATGTTCTATACATGTATTTTGAGGAGTACACTTACAAAAATTGAGTACGTATAAATCCATTGTTCGGGATAGCCAAATGGTTTGCACTCGTTACGAGTAACGATTTGTGTAGTTAGCTTTTATTGAAGATGCTGAGTGGGGTTAGTTGGGGCCTACAATGAGACCACAGATGAACTACACTCTGAGTGCGTTAGTCAGGACCACAATGAGACCGCGATGGACTTTACTCTTTTATGTATTTTTGGTCTGCATGAGCGTGCGCAGAGGTTGTTGAACCTATGATTTTGGTCCACATAGTTTTGCGCAGAGCTTGATATACCTATTTATCGATCCGCACGGGGGTGCGATGAGTTGATATATTATTTATCGGTCTGCACGGGGGTGTGATGAGTTGATATACTATTTATCGGTCCGCACGAAGGTGCGATGAGTTAAAGAATTCCAGAGAATGAAAATTTGATAAATTTGATGATAACCTAAGTGTAGGCGATTATTAACACTCGTTTGATATGATCTATTGTGAAGGTATTTCACAACTTTGGTACACGGGATAGTGTATTGGTATTTGTTTTTTCCACTAAGGATGGTATGAGGAGTTGGATGACATTTTGTTTGGAGATGATTGATGTATTTCTTTTTGTATTGTTATCCTTCATTGTTTTATTCTTAGTTGGAATTTATATCTAGAAATTTATGACTTGAGACACATTGTATATACATGAGGGTTTCCTTGTTTGGATTATTTCACTCGACGTACTAGTCTTGTGTTGTAAATTTCTAAACATAAATTCTATATAGTACAAGGTAAAATGATTTAGGTAGACTATGCACTTATAGGTAGAGTCTTCATCATACTTAGTAGCCCTTCCCCTAGGGGCGGATGGAGGTGATTTTGTTAGCACTCTGACGTTGTTGATTTCACTTCTTTTCAGGCTGCGGAGCAGAGATTCAGAGAGTCGCAGGTTGACGTACTTTCAGCATAGTCGTCGTCATTTAATTATAGTAGTTTTTGCTCCATGGTTATTTAGTTTTGATTTTAGTTGATTAGACTTGCATTTCATTTTGAGTGTTGAGAACCTATGTATTTTTCAGTTGACTCTTATAGTTGAGATTTTTGGATCATTTGTATCAGATTGTTGAACATATTTTCTTTTATATCTGTTTAGACCTGACTATCAGGAGATTTATCATTTGTTTCTATGTTCTATTTCCTGTCTTTATCTCTTTTATATCTGCTTGTACCTGTATTGTCTTATTTGATTCCACTAGAGAGATATTTCTGTGATGGTGAAACATGTCGTTACACAGTATGAGTGCATGGCATGTTTGACATCCTTGGATTCACCTTGGACTGCAGCCTTGTGTGAACCCAGGAGGCGTAACACTAGGTCTAGGTATTATTCATTGTGGAGAGTTGGGTTAAACGACTGGTTTTGAATAGATTCTAAGCTACGGTCTTTATAAGACTACCGAATCGGGTTGATTTAGGAGAACTCTTGGTATAGTGAGAAAGCCCCTTTGTGAGAAGGAAGAGTGGACGTAATATTGTTATTCTAACCACTATAAAATCTTGTATATCCTTAGTTGATTGTTATTTGTGGTTAATTATCGTTATTCACTTTTATTTATTTATTCCACTGCAGCATATTTTGTGTTTCTTAGCGAAAAATGATAGTGACCCTTTTCACCCTCACTCTAGGCCTGTATTTAGATCCAACAAAAATGATCAATTCTACTTCAATAATGTGTCCAAACATATTTAACTTAGCTAGTCATCTTTCTCCGTTTTCAATGTGGGACTAAATCTCGCCTCATGCTTTTTTCTGAACCAAACTTACACTTGACTGAATGAATGTGAGATACTCCTTGACATAAACTGTGATTGGAAAGACTTGGAAATATTCTGAAATGAGAATGAATTGTGTTTGCAACATTTATACTGTCTCAATTCCTACCAGAACATCACCCTGTGTGCAAGTGGCTTTCCAGCGCTGAGTGAGATAATATGCAAGGATCTTTCACTATCTCCCTAGCGTATTCTTTTCACTGATCATCTCCCTCTCTCTCTCTCTCTCTCTCTCTCTCTCTCTCTCTCAGTGTAGTTTCATGGAATAATGGTCCTATATATGAGATCACATTCTAAAAGATTTGGATGCATAACAAAAGCTGAAAGAATCTGTAAAAAGAAAAGGTGGTTAAAACAAATTGCTTTCTATTTAGGAACAGTAAACATCATTATAATAACAATAAACCCCTCTTGCTCTCTTTTTTTCATTTCAGATTTTTTCCAAAAGATCTCCTACTTGATCCTTGGTCTTTGTCAGTTTGTTTCATTCTTTTAATGTTTGCAAAAATAAGTTAAATTTTGGCGAAATAGCACTTAAACAGCTCATAGTTTACATGACCTCGCACATACATACTCATATGTTTTATTTATTTTAACAATTAAATACCTATTGTTTTTGAAGTATGACTTTCACATGTTAAAAATTAATCAAACATATCCTTAAAGTTGGCTAAATCAACTAAAAAATTCATCATAATGTCTTAAATTTTTGTTAAGAGGTATGTTTAACCGCGCGTATTTGGGGGGGGGGGAGGGGGGGGGGGGGGGTAAGAGGGGTTTTATTTAGTTGATTCAGGTAAATTTAGGGGAATAATTGACTAATTTTTAACATGTAAAAGTCTCATAAGAATATTCAGGAGAATATTAACGTGCTAGTTTGAAAACTAAAACAAATAGCGTATTGAAATATCAAGAATAAAAGACGGTACGTAAGTGCAAATTCACCTAAACTATAAGCTGTTTAAGTTCTATTTAGCCTTAAACCTTTTCTCTAAACATCTTGTATTGTTTATATTCTACAACAAATTTTTACAGACAAAGAAGGCACCTGTTTGAGATTAAATTGCAAGTTCAAGGATCAATATCAATGTCAGACAGTTCAATTAAATGCAACATTTTTCTTCAAATTTTTTAAAGATAATTATCAGTATCAGATATTCCTTCCAAATGTTATTTGTTGAAGAGAGAAGTAATTGCTGACCCAACTCTGAGATTCTTCTACTGAGACCACTGGAACCGTTGTCTGCAAGCCTGGCAGGTGATCTCGATACAAGCAGAGCCGATCTTTCGTGAGGCCGCCGCCTTCATCCTCTCCACCTTCTCCATATCCTCTCGAGCCTGCTCCCAGATCATTCGAGCCCTCGAGAATTCCTTCTCAGCTAGCTCAAGCTCTCTCCTCGTCAGCTCCCTCACTCTCTCTGCATATGCCTTCTCAACCGCTGCAAGACGAATTTGCTCAGCATTCTGTCTTTTCAAGACCTCCATGCTCCTCATGTTGCTCTCTGCCTCTTCGGTTTTTGGAGATGATTGTGATTGTCCTACGCTTATTGAGAGGCTTAGATCGAGCTCAGATTCTCTCTGATCATCTTCCATGTTATATCAGAGAGTGTTTGCTGAAGGAGGAAGGTTGTAGCAAAGAGGTTACACAAACGGTCTGTATATATTGAATCTCAATTTGCTTGTGTCATATTTACCAAGATGTCCTCGGCTCTGAAAAGGTTTTGAAATGTCTATAATACCCTCCTTGTGTTTAATTTCCGTAACTCCTTTCACCTTTCAACTCATTTATCAAGCACTTGCCACTCCTGGGCTCATAAGGTTGATAGGGGTTAGGCGCAATTTATCCTTCTCAAAATGTCAATCAAAGGAGTGGTGGGTGATAATGGAGATAAATAATTTTGTTTGAGAAAGGGTATTATAGGATGCGTGTGGTTGGTTCTACAGAGTATGATCTTCGAGCTAGTTTCCTTGGACAGAAACTGCAAACGCAGTTTCAGCTCAGGGACGAGTTGACCGATGAGTCGCTCGTCCGTCCAGCCGTTCAGACGAGGTGGCCGCCAACCAGCCACCCGTCCATGGGTTGCTGATGGGCAAAATTACTGTAATGGTTATCGGTAAACTTATGACATGTTGGAATCCATACAGCACTCGAAGTTCAATTAAGTAAGTTTATACAGTTTCAGTTTTCAAAGGCGAAGCGACTTTGAATTCTACTGTTGCAACACAGAGGAACCAGATATCGATGACAAAAAGAACAAACAACCAGAGAAACAATCACATAGACATAAAGATTTAACAAGCTAATTTGGTAATCAGTGTGATTACTTATATCCTCGAAACCTCCCGCAGGGTGCAACTCTTTAGGCGTCAAAATTTGGGACCCGATATATATTATCAATGTAAATCAGGCTCCACAAACAACATACGCTTGGTTCACTCAAGCGAAAGATATCGGTCATGATGCTACAAATCTTCTTGTTTTTTGTACTTGGTATTGCAATTCTACATTGATTGATCAATTGCATCCTGTAACAGGTTAAGTACCTAGTCTCATGCTGAGGTGAGGATACAAACTTTTCCCATGCTGATTCCAGTCATCTCAGGCTGGCATGTTTTCTTTTCTCCTCTACTTGTCTCTCACTTTTGATTCTTCTTTCGGTTCATCACTTTATGTTGAGTTCTTTTTTCGTGGAATTGTGATGATTGCTCTGTTAACTTTGGCATGTGTGGAGTACAAAAACACTGGAAAGGTGAAGTTTTTATCACCCGCAAGTGAGAGATGAGTGAGAGAGAAAGAGGGCTTTATTGTAGGCCAAGATTGGTGGCCCCTTAGAACTTCAGCATATGATGCCATTAATCTATGGCTACTGTTGCCAGCAATTTTAGCTTTCTTTAGGTTTTTGAAAAGAAGGTTTAGTTCATGCATTGTCATTAGAACTTGTGGATTCACTCATCATTTGATTGTTTTTGTAGTTTTGGCATGAGGCTTGTTGGTTTGTGTTGATCATTATCTCCTTGGAACAAATCACTGCAAATAATCACAAATGTCTTTATCAAAATTTCTAAGGTTAATAACTAGGATTTTAAGATGCATGGTACCAGAATCATCCATAGCTTCAATCAAATAAAAAATTACTTGTCTATGTGTCTAGGGCATGATAGTGGTTAACCTAAATGTTTTTTACTTGTAAACCATCTTTAAATTAAATAGACTCATTCTATAGAAACCACCTCTGATTTTCAATTTATATATAAACTACTTTTAAATAATTTTTGTTCCAATTAACCAAATTTACTCATTTTTAAGTCAAGTTTTTCAATTTTGCTGTAATAATTAGTTGTCAAATGCCAAGTATATTAGATAGATTATCCTTAATGAAGATTAGACGAGATCAATTACTGAAAAATAACTTAAATATGGGCCTAGACAGTTGATTGTAATTAAAATAATCCTTTTTAAAAGTGGTTTTATGTATAAATTATATTTAAAATATTGTTTCTATAGAATGAATCTATTTTAAAGTTGATTTCTAGGGGACAAAAACCATTATCTTAAAGGATGAGATAACTCTAAACAAAATTAAATGAAGAAATAGAATTTGTGAATGAAATATTTGAGCACAATGAAACATGTGGCTCATCATAACTTTATAGTTTTGACGCAACAATACGAGTATTACAGAGTACTCTTCACATTGTAATAAAATAAAATAAAAAGTTGCAAGTAGACTAAATGAGTATAATTCTGAAGTGGCTCCTAGGATCTCTCAAAATATGTAGCATTCATGCAGCCATGCATCCTTCTGCAGCAAACGTATCTTGGTACTCTGATTTCTAAGATTTTTTCCACGATGACATGATGAATCTATCCATCCACATGATAAAAAGGCTGCACCTTTTCATGCCCTGCCCCTCTTTCTCATCTCTATCTAAAATACTCAAAATCTTCATCTTTGATAGTTGCTAGTTACTTTTTATGGGAGGAAAGTCTTGTGGGTGACTGAAGCATGTGATCTCACACAACCCCCTCCCTTTTTGGACAATGATTTATGTATCATGGTCTCCCACTAACACTTACACCAGTTTCAAATTCAAGTCTTGGGGCCCTCATCTCATTTTGTATGAGTCAAAGGAGAACATAACATAATATTCTAGTGGTCCCTATATAGAAAATTGTATGAGTCAAAGGAGAACATAACATAATATTCTGGTGGTCCCTATATAGAAAATTGTATGAGTCAAAGGAGACCATAACATAATATTCTGATTGTACTGATATTTATGTTTGCACTAAAACTTAGTAATTTCAATTTCGATGATATTATACACTGATTATGCTGAATTAAAATTAGTAACACAACTCACATTCTTGTGATTTTTTATAGTGCGACCTTGCATAGCCATAGCCCCCCCCCCCCCCCCCCCCCCCCCCCCCCCCCCACCAATGTTCAAGATTTGAGATGACTCACAAATAGAGGCCTCCACGAGTCCTCCTAAGGCCCACCATTACTCTGAGCATCACCAAATGAAAGCAACGTGACAAAATTGTTGGTCAGTGGAGCTCAATTGATGCTCATCCATTGTGATGCACCAACCAGTCCAAGAGATGGCTACAGATTCATGTTCAAAGAATGTGATGTGCTAACCAACCTTAGAAGATGAAATCCATTGATAAGCTAAGGAGTTTCATTTAGTTAAGCCTTGATATGAGGAGCTAATATAGTGAACTGAATAAAAGAAAACTAAGCTCCTTAGTCTTATCTTAAAGGCTCCTTAAACTTATCTTAAAGATTAATATCTTTGAAAATGATCATCATCAAGAACATGGTAGTCTTTTAACATAGATGAATATATTAGATTCTGTAAAATTTTGATTAAGTATGAAGGAAAGGAGGCATTCATGATTTTAGAGAATGTGAATGGAGCTTCATTATTTTTCAAGGAAAATTTGCTGCCCTTGGTAGCCGAAGCCTGCGGTCCTAAAGCACATAATGATGAATTGCATGTCACAATCTACATCACACAAGTATGGTCATAGATCAGATCATCAGGATCAAATATTTGTCCACTTCTTTGCTGATGCAGCAAGCTAAAAGGGAATAAACAGATTCATTGAACGAATTTTCTTTCCTTTTTTTCTTTTTTCTTTTTTTATTCCTTTTTTTTTCTTTTCCTTTCAAACTCATGGTAAAGAATGATCAAAGCAGCTAAGTTTTGATTAGAATTGAGACTTATAGAGTCGAATATAATACAGTTAGTTAAAAAAACATATTATTTTGTATTAATTATAGGTAGACCTCATGTATTAACTTCAAATTACGGATAAACCCCCTATACTTCTATCGTTGCAGACAAAGCTCCCCTGGATTCTTAACCTACTTAGTTTACCCAGTTAAATTAGTTGTATGTAATGATTTGTTATGCTGAGTTCATAGTAACTAAAGCAGTTTATGAAGCTCGTATGTTATAGTTTACAAAGCCCAACCTTGACCTGAAAATAGCTTGAGTTGAGAAACTAGGGGATCTATCTGCAACAATAGAACAACAAGGGTCTATCTGCGACGGTACAGGAGCTCTATCTGCAATTAACCCCTTTATCTTTGCGACAATAAAGTGAACCAGAGGCCATGACTCAATGAAGTATCTAGATCCCGAATTTTAAATATAAGCAATGTGACAACATCCACAGAATTTACATGGTTTTATCATCTGAACTGATACTCTAGGAAATAATGCATAGGCTAGTGAGTAGATGAAGCTTAAGAGGAAGCACAAGATGGATGCATTCATTTTCAAGGTGCAGATCTTCGCCAAACAATATCTTGGATTTGATCCACGGTCAGGAATGCAGGGCTGTTATCAAAGTTAGCCTTCTCCATCTGTCTGTGAAGCTGCATGATAACAGTTTTAGATAAATAATCAGCCACGCAAACCCAATCGGTTGACAAACTAACCGCATGCATAAGCATGCAGAAATTTGCAAACGTCTCCTAAAATTCTCAGTCTTTTTATACGGATATACTGAGGAAACATAGCACAACTTATGATACAAAATACAACTGACAACATCAAATATTGAAGGTTCACACCAAACTGCAGCAGCTGAGTTCCATTTCAACTTTTGGCTCTGAGCTCATCCGTAGACTTCTGAATGCTAGTGGTGCTAATATTTAGATCCACTTTAAAGTATCATTTGTCATAATATTAGAAAGTATAAACACAGCACTCCCAAGAAACTCCCTTCCCTCCCATGTTTTATTTTCATATAAATTTTGTATTACAGAAAAATTATTTTACAGAAGGAAGCCACAGCCTATATAGGCGAAATATCCTACCTATAACTTAGAAAGAAAAATCTGGAAATTCAGTTGCCTATTTTTACCCTCTGATACAGCCTAGATTCTTTCCTTCTATCTTGTGTCATTGTAAGCAATAAATATATAAAAAAATACATTTCAGTTATGGTAAAAATCTTGCGCCATAAATTATGGAACAGCTGGCCTGAGCTGTTCATTTCACACTCCCCCTCAAGTTGGCATGTAAAGATCCAACATGCCCAACTTGCTCAATACATCATAAAACGCAGTACTAGACACTCCTTTGGTCAAAATGTCGGCAAGCTGTCCTTCTGACCTCACGAAGGGCAATGAGATGACCTTCTCATCTAGGTTCTGCCGCATGTAGTGTCTGTCTACTTCCACATGCTTTGTTCGATCGTGTTGAACTGGATTCGAGGAAATTTCAATGGCCGCTTTATTGTCACAAAACAATCTCATCTCCCCCTTTCGTTCAAACCCAAGTTCTTCCAACAATTTCTTGATCCAAATTAATTCTTGTAAACCAATCCGGATCCCTCTGAATTCAGATTCTGCACTTGACAGGGCCACGACATTCTGCTTTTTGCTCCTCCAGGTTACTAAATTACCTCCAACAAAGGTGAAGTATCCTGATGTTAACTTCCTATCAGTTATATTTCCAGCCCAATCTGCATCTGTATACCCTTCAACCTCAAGATGTCCATTTTTTTTTAAATAAATCCCTCTTCCTGGAGCACCCTTAAGATATCTCAAAATGCGATAAACAGCATCCATATGGTCCTCACTTGGGGCATGCATAAATTGGCTAACCACATTTACTGCATAAGCTATGTCTGGTCGTGTGTGAGACAAGTAAATTAATCTACCTACAAGTCTTTGGTATCTCTCTTTATTTGTAGGTACTTGGTCTGGAAGAATTCCTAACTTGTGGTTTTGCATGATCGGGGTATCAACTGGTTTGCTGTCAAGCATTCCAGTTTCGGCCAATAGATCCAACACATACTTTCTCTGTGACAAAGAAATACCTTCCTTTGATCTTGCTACTTCTATTCCAAGAAAGTACTTCAATCCGTCAAGATCTTTCATTTCGAACTCCTTGGATAATCTCTTTTCCAACTGTTCAATCCCCTCTTGATCATCTCCTGTTATTATCATATCATCTACATAGATAATCAAAATGGTTATTTTTCCATGAGTTCTTTTAAAAAACAACGTATGATCAGAGTCACTTTGTATGTAACCATAGGCTTTCATTGCCTTACAAAACCTCCCAAACCACACTCTAGGAGATTGTTTCAAACCATACAACGACTTATCTAATTTGCACACTACATCCTTAGAACCCGGACATTCATAACCAGGAGGAATATCCATATATATTTCCTCTTCCAATTCACCATGTAGAAAGGCATTTTTTACATCAAACTGGTGTAACGGCCAATCTAGGTTAGCTGCTAATGACAACAACACCCTTACAGTATTTAATTTTGCAACTGGCGAAAAAGTATCTTGAAAATCAATACCATATGTTTGGGTAAACCCTTTAGCAACTAACCTAGCTTTATACCTTTCTACTAAACCGGTTGAACCATATTTAATAGTAAAAACCCACTTACATCCTACTGTCTTCTTTCCTTGAGGTCTCTCTACCAGTGTCCAGGTTTTATTTTGTTCAAGTGCATCCATCTCCTCCTTCATGGCTTGTACCCATTTCTGATATTTCAATGCTTCTTCAACTCGTTGACAACCCGCCGGTTTGGATCACGTTTGTAAGTGCGCAACTGTTGGTGTTCAATACCAGAGGCCTCAACTTCCTTTTCTTGTAAACCAGGTTCGAACTCCCCATTATTTAGGCCCAGCTTACTCTCATATGGACCAAGAGATGGAGGAAGTGAATTATCTTGTGGACATACAGATGATGGGCCGATTTGGTCATGTTGGGGCATATTACTAGCTTCCAGGCTAGTGTGGTCAAGGGCAAAATTAAGGTCAGATTCGGTCTGGTCCGAAGGATACATTTCAAAAGAGTTAGATTCTTCTCCTACAGAGATCAGATCCCATAGTTGCTTCTCTTCACTAATCTCCCCCTGAGAAGTAACTTGGGAATTTTGGAAAAAATATTCCATCTCAAGAAATGTTACATCCATTGTAACAATTATCTTTTTAGAAATAGGATTAAAGCAACGATAACCTTTCTGATTTATAACATATCCCAAAAAAACACACCGCTCTGCACAAGGTTCTAATTAGATCTCTGAACTTTAGGAATATGAATGTAAGCCACACACCCAAAAATTCTAGGTGGAAGGTTGAGAATAGATGGTATATGGACATAAGATGACAATTTTTGAAGTGAGGTTTCAAAATTCAGTACCACAGATGGCATGCGATTTATTAAATAGACAGCTGTAGTAACCGCATACTCCCAAAATTTTTGTGGAACATTACTCTCAATTAGTAAGGATCTAACAGTTTCTAGGACGTGTCGGTTTTTTCGTTCTGCTACCCCATTCTGTTGTGGAGTTCCCGCGCACGAAGTTTCATGTATAATGCCCTCATTTTGAAAGAAACTCTTTAGAATTTTATTCACAAATTCTCCACCATTGTCGCTTCTAAAGTATCTAATATTTTTATCAAATTGAGTTTTCACCATATTATAGAAAATCTTAAATATATTTGATACTTCATCCTTTGTTTTGAGAAGATATAACCATGTCATCCTTGTACAGTCATCCACAAACAGTACAAACCATCGATTTCCATTTGAAGAGTTTACTGGGTATGGACCCCAACATCAGAATGTATTAAAGCAAATGGAATTGTACTTTTATTTGGACTTCTAGGAAAGGATACACGGTGACTCTTTGCTCTAATGCAAGTTTCACAATTCAAATCCTCATTCTCACAACCAGAAAAAAGACTAGGATAAAGTTTCTTAAGATACCCGAAAGAAGGATGACCTAATCGTCTATGCCACATCCATACCCGATTTCTCGAGTTAGCTTTCAAACTTGTAGAGTAATGAGTCCTTCCTGTAGCCATGTCATCCAAATGATACAATCCTCGTTTAGAACCACGCCCAATAATCTCCTTCGTCCGGATATCCTGAAACAAGCAAAAACGAGGAAACATGAGAACACAACAATTCATCTCTTCACAAATTTGTCCGACAGAAAGCAGTTTTGTAGATAGTGAAGGAACCAGCAGTGTGTTTGAAAGAGTCATAGATGAAGAAATTTGAACATCTCCAACACTCATTACTGGGTAAGATACCCCATTAGCATTTAAAATATCGCTTCTTCGTGCCTTGTATTCATTCACAAAATCAGACCTCGTAAAAGTCATATGGTCAGTTGCTCCAGAATCTATTATCCAATTATAAGATTCTTTTATATTTGAATGAGGATGTGAAATACAGACTTTACCTTCATTCTGTTTACCATACTTTACTGCTGGCACAAGAGAGAAACCATTGGAGTGTGCTACAGACGCTGAACCCACTGCTTCACCTTGGGCCGAACCACCTCTTGACCCGATTGGGTCTTCTACTGTTCCTGTAGGTGTGCTTGCAACAGGGCCGGTTCCAGCTTTATTTGCCTCCCCCTGTTTTCCTTTTTTTTTACCCTTATACCAATCAGGAAACCCGATTATTTTATAACATTTCTCCTTGGTATGATTTGTTTTGCCACAATTAGAACAATAGAGGGAATTATTTGGTCGAGTAGAAGAACCAGGTTTTTGCATGTTCAATTTCTGGTTTTGTGTAAGAAGTACCACCAGGTTTTGTAACTCGTCACCCTTTAACATAACAGTTTGATGGTTGTCTTCTCTACGAACCAATGCAAATGTCTGTTCTATGGTTGGGAATGGTTGGACTTGGAGAACATTAGCCCGGATATGGTCTAAGCGATCATCTAGGCCATCTAGAAAAGTCAATACTCGGTCTTCTTGCAAAAGTCTATTATATGTTTCGATATCTATTGGGTTGGTCATAGGATTAGGTCTACGACAATCTAATTCTTTCCAAAGTCCTTGTAACTGAGTGTAATAAACCTCAATAGATCCACCCGATTGTTTGACCCGATTAACCTTTTTTTTTAATTCAAGCAATTGTGTCAAATCGTTCCCATCAAAGTAAGTGGTACGAACTGCATCCCAGACCTCTTTTGCAGTTGAGAAAGGAAGAAAGTTACCTATCAGAGAGGAATCCATAGAGTTAATTATGTAATCCTTGACGAGTTGATCTTCCATGTTCCACTTTGGATTCGTATTACCCGAAGGTTGAGAGGAAGTGCCATCAATATAACCGAGCTTGCCCTTGCTCGATAACTTCATCTTCAACATCTGTGACCATATGTTGAAATTCTTGCCATCTAGCTTGACTGTCATTGCAGATATGACCCCATCTTGCGTTGGTTTTTGTTGCAGCAGTTGAGAAAGCGTAGCAGTCAAACTCTCAAGAAGAAGAGTCGGATCAGGTTTATTCTCAGGCTGATTTTCCTCCATCTAGGACAGGTAAATTTCAAACCAGAAGGAAGAGAGAAAGGAAGAAAAAAATATCCCTAAGTCACACAGCAACAGGAAACCTTAAGTCGCAGGAATAGCAACAAGGTTAATAGAACTGCGGACAACACAAATTCACTGTTTTCAGCAAAGTAAAGGAGAACAATAAGAGGAGATAGGAATACAAGTTAGACCCACTAGTCCACCTTCGGCATAGCCATCAGCAAACTAGAGAATCGAACCTTCGCTCTGATACCATGTCATAATATTAGAAAGTATAAACACAGCACTCCCAAGAAACTCCCTTCCCTCCCATGTTTTATTTTCATATAAATTTTGTATTACAGAAAAATTATTTTACAGAAGGAAGCCACAGCCTATATAGGCGAAATATCCTACCTATAACTTAGAAAGAAAAATCTGGAAATTTAGTTGCCTATTTTTACCCTCTGATACAGCCTAGATTCTTTCCTTCTATCTTGTGTCATTGTAAGCAATAAATATATAAAAAATACATTTCAGTTATGGTAAAAATCTTGCGCCATAAATTATGGAACAGCTGGCCTGAGTTGTTCATTTCACATCATTTCATATTACAAATAAAGTCATCCGTAATTTTGATGTTGAGGCAATAATTGATGTCTTTTGGAAGAAATCTAATTATGCAAAAGCAGGACAATTGAACCGAAAGAGTATTTTCGGACAAATTATAAGATGTAAATTTGGATGATCATATCTTTTGAGTTTTGACTTACTCCGCAAAATCTTAATTATTATATGTTTTTTGAAAGCTCAGGAAGTTCTCTAGACAAAAAATAATAATTTGTGGTTCCAGATAATATTTGTGTTCAAAGACATTAGTCTTCAGGTTCAACTGCGCAGTAAAATTCTGGTTTATTTTAGTTTCTAGTTATTTTAGAAAGTCTCTTTATTCTAATAGTCTCTTTATTTTAGGAAGTCTAATTATTTTAGAAAACGTTATTTTAATACTTTTGCTTTGTTTTACACCCTATATAAGGGGAACAAATTTGTAAACTCTTTAAGATTGGTTATTATTAATTTCAAAAAAAATTTGTTCCTAGGGTTATTAGGGTTTGTGCCGTTTTGTTTGTACGAGAACGAGTAGTTCTCTCTTTTAATTACACTTCCGCTACATCAATTGATGAGGAAGATCTGATGATGGATGATGTGCGCAACGAACCATTGCCTAAGAAAACCAACCACAAGTTTTAGATGAAGAAGATTGTTGATTTAACTGAGTTTCACCCAATCAGGCCGCTTTAACTTCAGCCAAGCTAGAGGACGAGTTTTGTTCAGGGAGGGGAGAATGAGGGAGGGGAGAATGATGCTTAGGCAATAATTGATGTCTTTTGGAAGAAATCTGATCATACGAAAGCGGGACGATTGAAGCAAAAGAGTATTTTCAGACAGATTCTAAAATGCAATCTAAATGATCATATCTTTTGACTCGCTCCATAGAATATTTATTATTATATATTTTTAGAAAAGCTTAGAAAGTGGTCTATACATAAAATTAATTCGTAGTTCCAAATAATATTCGTGTTCAAAGATATTAGTACTCAGGCTCAACTGTGTTGGAAAATTCGGGTTTACTTTAATTTCTAGTTATTTTAGGATATCTCTTTATTCTAGTAGTCTTTTTTTATTTTAAGAAGTCTAAGTATTTTACGAAAGGTTACTTTAGTACTTACACCCTATATAAGGGGAACAAATTTGTGAACTCTTAAGATTGGTTATTATTAATTTCAAAAGTTTTCTATTCCTAGGATTTTAAAGGTTTGTGCCAATATGCTCGTATAAGAACGAGTAGTTATCTCTTTTGATTACGTTTTCGCTACATCAAATCTATTATATCTATCACTAGCATTATCTTTCGAAAGAGATGCAAGTTTGAATAACTAATCGCTTGGCACAGAGACTTCGAACCTACAGCCTTCATATTATAAAAACACTTGCCTACGAGCTAAGCCTAGTAGTTGTAACTGCTGCGATAATAGAAACAACAAAAATTTATATAGCTCAATCAAAAGAGATAAATTGGACTTACACTTTCAAGAACTGCAGATTGGTCATCTGGGTGAAACTTCCGGATATACTTCAGCATTTCCAATTGCTGCAAAAAAAATATAATTTTCAGTTTTCAGTCTAAATGTTAATTAGGAAATGAACAGGATAGTTACAACATCCACCTGCTCTTGCATTTTTTGCTGATTGTCCATCTTCTCCGCAAACTCGTTAGCCTCGAGCTCAGCTTCATCAATGGCCATTTCCTCCCTGCCAGTTGCAGGAATTTCAAAAAAACAAAGCACAGTATGCTACTTAATTTAACTGAACCTGAAAAATAGACCAAAGATCCAACGATAACAATAACTATAATAACAACAACAAAGCCTCGGCTTCATGAATCCTATTATTCCATTCAATTCTATTATGGATATACTTTAGATCTACCTCTAGTCCTTTTTGGCATATCAATTATAATCTTATAGTTTATCCTAAGTGGTATATTTAGTGGCCTCCTTACCTAAGCATCTCAATCAATTCTCTCTCATTTTTTATCCTCAATAAGAGCAAACTCTAACCTCCTGTGAATGTACCCCCTTATCCTCTCTCTTAATGCGAAAACAGATTAAAGATAGAATATGATATACTTTCCCCGCAAAATGACCTAACAAGAGTATGAGAAAAGTACAGAAAGATGAAAATTCAAGCTGCATATTTTTGCTGGAAAATTCTCTTGCTTTTTATGTATTTTAAGCTCAAAAAACTAAATATGCCTGAAAATACTATAGCTAAATATGCCTGAAAATACTATGTTTCTGGTCCCTTAATTTCTTATTTTAGGATATGATAAGGTTTGTGATGGTGTTGCACGATGATTAGGTTGGGCCAGCTTTGACCTGACTCAAATATAGCTCACAAACCTGACCCAATTAGGAATTGGGCTAGGTTCTCTGACACATATCTGACGAATAACCTTATTATCAGCAGGTCAAGTCTGAATTTTCAATACCTGACTTCAAAGAAAAACAATGCATATCTGCCTAAGGAAATAATCAACCTCGACAAGTAGAGCAAAGATGTGACTGTTCTGAACATGAGGTCCAAAATTTGCATTTTGTCCAAAGAGAGAATCAAGCTCAACCACAGAGCACAATTGCGAATGCTCTGTCCATGAAATTCAAGTGGTTCTTGTGCAACTATAACAAAAATTACCAGACATTCATTTTTCTTTCCTGGAAAAACACAGAGGAATAGGAGTCTAACCAGTGACCTGACAGCACAAACTGGTTGTACTAGCCAAGAAACCTGTAGGGCATAAATGCAAAATAACTATTTTACATATCCTATTAACTGGCTTGTGCAGGTCAAAACTAGTGAAGTCATCTGATCCTTTACACACCTAATCAATAATCAGGATAGAACGTCTGACCTGATTTTGAACAGTGTCAACCAGGTATTATCAAAACCAAGAAATTTTGTTCTTGGTTTGGGTCAATCCAACAGGTTGGATCAGGATTACCAGCCTTAGGCTCTAACGCTGAGTTGGATTATTGCATTGCTCTTCCAGGGATATATCCTGGGCAAATTACCAAATCAAAAATGTTGCAGGAATAATACAATAGAAACATTTTCATCATGCAACTGGTAAGTCCTGTCCCGTTCTCTTCTGGGTGTCCTTCACAGCTGTTATTTGTCTCATTCTCATGTTATGTATATAGTTTTCTACACAGCTTATCTCATTTTTATATATCTATAAAAGTAAAATGTAGTTAGTACAATGCATATATGTTAGAGACATAGGGGAGGAAACTAATTATGGTGATTTATCATCACTACCATAGAGCTTAAATCTTTTTGATGAATTTTAAAAGAATTATTATGCGTGAAATATCGAGTAAAACATTTTATACAAGGTAATGAAATGGGTTCTCCTAATCAGGAAAAAAAGACGGTTTGTTATAATTAAAAATTGCTTCAATTGTGAATTCAAAGAAAACTGTCTTTCATTGTGTTTTTCTTTTTAACCTAGATTGATCTATTTTTTTCATAAAAAATCAAGGATTTATTGGTCTTTCTCATTATTTTTAAGCATGGATGATTGTTTTGTCATTTTGTTATTTTTTCTCATTTATTAAACTTGAGATTGGACCAAAAAAAAAGTTTCAATTTAATTAGCTAAAACCATTACTTTAATGGTGACATGTAAAGAGCTCCATATGATACCCTGGAATTAAGGTTACAACCTTAGACATGAAGCAAGAGTTGTAGTACATAATAATCAACAATAAGAACATTGAAAAGCATTATATCTTTATTAACCTCATCCATATTGAACATGTTAATAGGAAAATGAAGAAAGAAAATGAAAAAATATGCAAAGAAATTCTACAAAGCTAACTTATAACATCTAAAATGGTGGACGAACTAGAAGATGATTTGTCTGTCAAATTTGTATGTAAATGGTTCAAAAAGGATTAAAAAATCATAAAGAAATTCTATGAAGCTAACTTATGACATATGGAAAGATAGATAAACTAGACGATAATGAACAAAAAAAATGAAAACAAATGCAATGAAATTTTACAAAGCTAACTGATGACATCTGAAAAGATGGATGGACTAGAAGATAATCTATCTGTCAAATCTGCATGTAAATCGTTCAAAAAGGGGAAACCCCCTTGGATCTCAATTCGAAAACTAGTGAGTATTGAGGATTTTGTCTTTTTTTTTAATTTATTAGAAGCATACGCACACCAACTGAACATAGTTAAAGGAGATCACAAATTTGAGATCTGCTCATGAGCAATGGTAAACAAGAGAATTGTAACAAGAAAAAGTATGGGCACACTACTGCTACCAAGTTATGCAAGGATAAGTATTTGTGCAGCTCCTTCTCCCTTGAGTTAGCATTATTTCCTTGGAGGTTTTCTTCTTATTTAATTGAATTGCTACAAACTGACACAAAATCACAACACATTAGGCAAGGATCAATATTCGTGTTGCTCTTTTCCTTGAAAAATGGGCATTGTTTCCTCTTTCAGGTTTTCTTCTCACTTAATTAGATTGCTACAAACTGACACAAAATTCAACCCGTTCTGTTATACTATGAAGTTATTTTAGTTTCAAGTTTTACCCTCTAATAGCTACACATTAACCATTTTGTGACATACGTGGACATATCCTAATATGAACGGACACTGGAACGAATATGGATATGAATGCGAATATTTGTTTGTGATAAAAAAAAACAAATATGGCTATAATCAATGTAGTATAGAACAACCCATAATGATACTTACTTTGCAACAAATCTATAAAACTGGATCATTAAGTCTCTATCGTTCTCATATACTGAATTCACCTTTCCCAAGCAAGCAATCCCAAATCTTGGATCTACAAGAAATTAATGGAGTGCTAAATTGATGTGAGGATCAATAAATTTATCACATATATAACAAGAGTGCTGCCACTTGACAATGTTTGAAGCAAATTAAGACATGTTTCAAGAAAAGTACATATCTGATTTTCAAATATTAGAGCTTGAATTAGAAAAGTATTTTACAGGCAAGAATTATCTATCAATCTATTCAGAATGGTAGGCTACTTTTTTTTGTATATTCCAATAATTTAGCTAATATCTGAACAGAGAACAATTAAGTATTGGGTAAATGAAAGAACATGAATATCTCTTATGTACTGGTAAACTATAAACAGCATGCAACATTCACCCACCAATTCCCATTTCCAGGAGAATCTCCTCCTGGAGGGTCGTGGTTACAGCAACTGCCTCCTGCAGAAAAAATAATCATGTAAGTGATTCATATTGTTTCTATCTTCTGGATGTCCCCCAGTGGCCTATGCTAAAATTTGCAAGCAAAGTTTTATAATGCATTCATATTTTACTTGTAATTAATGTAAGCTCATGTTATATAAACTGCGGGAAAATAATGTACAACTTCATTAGCAAATTAACTGAGTGTCGCATAATTATCCTCTTTGACTTCTTTTCTATGGAAGTGCGAATACTTGAAAACCAAGCTGCACCTCTTTGCTAAGGCCCTTCTCAAAATACCAAAAGAAAGGCTCTTCGAGACCCAAAATAAATGCTCCACCATTGTCTCAGTTTGATCGTAATTAGACCACTGAATGCGGCTTTGAACTATTACCTCATAAATATCAAAGTCGTCATCATCATTGTGTAAGAGACCTAGAAGAACTCATTCCTAAATGCTAGTTGTTAGAGGCAGGTATTAACAATAGAAGTGGATAGGAGTAAATCTCACATTTCTCGTCTATATTGTGTTCATTTACAATGGCTTTATATAGAATACAAAAGGTGCAGGAGCCAGGAGGTTCAGGTTGTTTCTAAGAGATAGAAACGATAACAAGGAGATCAAATCAAAGAAAATTAATAGATAGAAAAAAACAAAAACGTCTATCTATAAATCATAACAAAGGATAAGCTTATGTTATGATCTCAACACTCCCCCTCAAGCACGAGAGTGAAGCGCACGAACGAGTTTGCTGGTTAAAGAATGAACTTGGTTTCGTCCTAGTTTGAAGATGTCAGCTAATTGTAAATGACTGGGTATGTAGGATGTTCTTAGGAATCCATCTTGAATGTTATCCCAAATGAGATGGCAGTCAATCTCAATATGTTTTGTGCGTTCATGAAATACCGGATTGGAAGCGATACAAAGAGCATCTTGATTGTCACAATACAAGATGACAATATTGAATGAAACATGAAGATCACAAAGCAAATAAATGAGCCAAATAAGCTCACATGTAGCGCAGGCCATTGCTCTGTATTTCAGCAGAGGAGCGGGATACAATTTGTTGTTTATTGGATTTCCATGAGATTGGGCTTGAACAAAGGAAAGTGCAATAACCTGTGCTTGATCGCCGTGAAGTAAGGCAAGAGGCCCAATCAGAGTCACAGTATGCATGAAGGGAGAGAGAACTGTGACCACAAAGAAGCATGCCACTTCCTGGAGATGATTTGATGTAACAGAGAACCCAAAGTGTGGCTTGCCAATGAGGATCATCAGGCTTACTCATACATTGTCTGAGGAGGTTGATAGCATAAACAATTGACAGGTCTAGTGATTGTGAGGTAGAGGAGACGACAAATTAAGAGTGCTAAGACCTTGATGTGAAATTTGGAGTGTAAAAAATGCTTGAGAAGAGAAATTGATCATTGATCGTCACCAGTAATTATAATGTCATCGATGTAAACAAGGACCATTGTCACCAAGGTACCCCTTTGAGAAGTGAACAAAGAATAGTCTGTCTTGGACTGAATAAAACCAAGCTTGAGGAGAGCGGAAGAGAACTTAGAGAACCAACTCCAAGAGGCCCTATTTGAGACCATAGAGGGATTTGTTCAAACGATATACTCTCATCTAACCCTGCTTAGGGAAACCAGGTAGGATTTTCATGTAGACCTCCTATTTGAATTCGTGATGCAAAAAAGCATTATTAATGTCTAATTGATACAACAGCCAAGAACGAACTACTACAACTAGAAGGAGACACCACACAGTGACAAGCTTTGCTACGAAGCAAAAGTTTCATTGAAGTGGAGACCTTGAACTTTTGTGTAGCTTTTAGCAACGAGTCTTCCTTTGTAGCGCTCATTTGCAACCAATGGGAATTTTGTAAACTCATTGAAGTGGAGACCTTCAGAACGATTTTTAATTTTATAAACTCATTTGCTGCAACCAATGGGAATTTTGTGAGCTGGTAGTGATGCCAACGTCCATGTGTTATTTAGTTCTAGTGCTTTGATCTCGGCGACCATGGCCTCCTTCCATTTTGGATTCTTGTTAGCTACTGTAAAGGATGTGGGTTATGTTTCACAAGAAATGCTAGCAAGAAAGGCTTTGTGAATCGATGTAAAACGATTATAGGAAAGCACATGGGATAATGGAAATAATGTACCTGATGAAACCAAACTCTTGGAGAATGATGAATTGGCAGGTTGAACATGTGCACAATAGTACTTGGATAAATATTTGGGAGCATGTTTTGCGCGTATGGAACATCTAACCTCAGTTGGAGGGATTACAGGTAGTGGAGTGGGATTAGGGGCAACTGGTATTGTTTTAAATATCCCCGACATGGACCGATAATATATTGCCTGATATATTCTTTTATAGGACTTGTCACAACCAATATGATCTCTAAATGTCCTTTACTGCTTTTTGGCTGCTTTGGGTGATATATCCCTGATATAGCCAGCATATCAACCGATATATTGCCCGATATATCCTTTTATATAGCATGTCGCAAAACAATATACAGCATTTGACAATTTTTGGGCATCATGATTTTCCCATTATATCAAATAGCATTTTGGCCTAAAAAATAGATGAAATATTGTACTGTTGATTTGTATTTTTATTTATTTTACAAGATTGATTAGTGATCCTAAACATATATTATTTATATTTTGCATGCTTAGATTTCATTAAGAATGTTGAGATTACATTTTAATGCATTATACTATATATGCAAATATCTGTTATGGCATTCTAATATTTACCACATATCATTGATATTTTCCCGATATTTACAACCCGATATGAATTTTGTCCATCTGATATTTCCCCAATATCCAATATTTAAAACATTGGCAACCAATGATGGAGGATAGGGCAATTCTATTGATGGTTGTGGTGTGACTTTTGTATTTTGTGGTGGTGACGACATAGGATGAAGTGGAGGTGAACTTGTATCCTGTATGGGTAATGGCAATACAAGAGATGTTGTTGAAGGTAGAGATGCATCATCAAAGGAGAAAAGAAAAATATTCTCACGAAACATAACGTCCCCACTTGTGAAACATGTATCAGTGGCAAGATCAAGAAGGCGATGTGCTTTCTGGACTGCAGAGTAACCAAGAAAGACACAATGATTTGCATGAGGACCAAATTTGTCATGATGAAGATGAACTGGAGCGACATAACTAGTGTTTTAAACATCGGATGATATATCGGATCGAGGGGTCTAGCGATATGAGTCGGGCTTATTTGCGTCGTATATCGGTTTTCTAGAACAAATCGGAGATGTCGGGGAAAAATCGGGCATATCGGCTGATTTTTCACCTTTGAAAAATCGGCCGATATCCCTTGATTTTGGTTTAAAGCATTTTTTTGATTTATTGGGTTTGGATTTTCACAAAACCCAAACCCATTTGACCGCTGCTAACTGTTTGAGGGACTTTATACGAAGCCGATGAAAGATGAAAGAAAACGAGTCCATAAAAGAAAAACAACAAAAAGCTAGGGCTACAGGACCGCCTTCTCCTCTCTGTCTTGAGGCATCTTCAGCCGCCTTCGACCGCCTACAAAGTTTGACATTCTAGCTCTTCGACCGCTTTCGACCGCATCTTCAGTCGTCTTCGACCGCATCTTCAGCCGCCTTCGAAGTTCAA